TGCCTATAGTGCATCCTCCAAAGTTTCAAGGATTGACATCAGCCCTTACTTTGAGGTACAAAGAGGACAAAAATTGAATCCAATCTGGTGTGCAGGTCAACGGGCTGCTGGAGGGGTTTAGGATTAGATGAGGTCAGTGGGTGGAGCCTACAGTTGAATTCGGGGGACTTCAAAAGGAGACACATATAGTAACCATACACATACTCTTCCTGTCTTATCATGTTATTTACTGCATAGTCTAGAGGCCTTTCCAGCAAGACCTCACTAGATGTGGCTCCATGACTTTGTGTTTCCAGAACGGTAAGCTAACACAAACCTCTTTTCTATGTTCTGCTTTGTGGCAGTGCATGTGTTGTAGTGGTGTAGAGCCCAGGACCTTGTCCACGCTAGGCAAGTGTTCTTGAGCCACAGCAATGCTACCAACCTCCCAGCAGGGCTGCCTGCACTGAGGCACAGGTTAACACTGCCAGCCAGCATGTCCCAGGCAGGGCACCCCATGTGCAGCATATGGAGATACCAGGTGGGCAATGCAGAGATTCCTGCATGAACAGCTTCAGCTGGCTGCAAGCTGTGGAATTCACAGGAACCCAAATGGGAAAGTTTTAAGGAGACATTCAGATAATAATAGAGTGGACGAAATGAGGTTGTGCAGGACCCATCCGAGGAATGTGCTGCCAGCTTCTTAGAAATCAAACCTTCTTATAGGACTGTAATATAACAGGGACAAGGTCTAAAACCTTTTCTTTTAAATGGCAAGCGAACTGCAAAGGTGAAAAAACACGTATCATCTCAGAACTCGATCTAGTGGCTGTAGCTGGTGGCTTCGGGGCTGTGCATCAGCCTTTCTCTGAGGGTGGTGTAATTCTCAAGTTTGCAATTTGTCCTGGCATAAAAATATAAATATGATTCACCTATTCACATTAATTTAACCCTTGCCAAGCTACAAGGGAGAGCAGGAGTATAGTGTTTCAAACGGCAAATGTTGATTTGTGCCGGTTTCAACTGAAATAGACGGCTCCCTGTGACTCAGTTCCAAGTCAACACCTCAAACACACGTACAGCGATGACTGCAGCACTTAAGACTTGTTAAATCAATCGCAATAAACTTTCTTCCACTAAGTCTTCTCGGAAATCATCATTTCTGCTTTGCACTAGGCCTGGATTCACAGGTTCTCAACATTGCATGGTGGTGTCACACAAAATCCAATGTCCATGTTCTTTCAGCACAGCTCCTCCCAGACAGGTGCATTCTGAAACCTGACCACCCTCGTGACAACACGGCACATCTGTCTTCTTTAACTTAACAACAGACAAGCAAATCAAGCACTGGAGACGGCTCAGGGGTGAAGAGCACTGGCAGTTCTTCCAGAGGACCTGGGGTTTGTCCCCAGCACCCACACAGCAACGTAACAACAGCCTGTGACTTTAGTTACAAGGGATCTGCACTATATTCTGCAATCTGCCAGCCCCAGGCATTCACAAGGTACATATACAGACATGCAAGAACTACAAAAACACATAAAAAATAAACACCACACCTAGTGTTTTAGCATCTGACTGACTTTTTATCACTGCTTGTCACAGGAGGGGGAGGAGAGAGGACCCTCTGAGTTCACCTCTAGATGCCTAAGAGCCACTCTGCTGGCTGGGAAAGCAGAAATGCTAGGGCAGGGTGGGAAGGACAAGAAAAGCCGGTAGCGGGAAAGTGATGCCTGATAGAATTGCTGGTCCTTTCTGTCTGGGCAGAAGGATGCCCACTGTTGCTTGTTAACCCTCACTGGCCAGTTCTAATAGTGAAGGAGAAATGACTTGCCCATGAAGCAGAAGAAACCACTTTTCCCAGGCCCTGATCTACTCTGGGCTTTGCTTCTTGTCTGGTCCTCTTGCCCACAGCAGCTGCCGCCTCTGCTATGCCCCCAGCAATTCTGGCCAATATCCTCTCAGGGCATTGCTACCTGCCTCCACATTTAGGTTAACTTCATTTTTTCCCCTGTTACATGGCAAACTGACTTCTTTTGGTGTGAGTTCTATGGCTTTAACATATGAAGGCTCTATGGGGCCACAGGCAGGACACCTCCTCGCTAGTCCCTCAGGTCACTCACCATAGTCCTGAGCTGACCCTACTTGCTCTCCCACCCCCATTCTTAGAGACTGGCTTCTGCAACCACCTGTGTTGTGCGTGCTATCTCTCTTTTCTTGCTGACAGCGTTTTGTGGTCCTCATGTATCTCCATCTGAGTTATTCTGCAAGTTTCATTCTTCTTTTTCAAGAGATGTTTATTATACTTTATGTGTATGTATGTGTGCCTGCTTGTTTGTATGTATACCACATACCAGTTATAGGCGGTTGTGAGCTGCCTTATGAATGCTGGGAAACAAACCCTGGTCCTCTGCAAGAGCAGCAAGTGCTCTTAACCACTGAGCCACCGCTTCAGCCTCAGGTTTCATTTTTCAAGAGTAAAGCCCGAGGGATAAAGTGGCTGGGTCACAGGGTCCCACCACTCTTCCTTTATACTAGCCCTGGGAAGAGCTCCAGCATTACTCTGCCTCTGAGGCGCCAGAAAGGACTTGAGCCAAGGGTGGGGACATACCAGGAAGACTTTCTGGGGAGTGCATCATCTATTTGTCTTCCACAGCCCCGATACAGGAACAAATGCCGGGACTTTCTGGTGAGCACGTGACTCTGCATTGCCCAGCCCTTGTCTGTTGCTCTGATCCCCACTCTCAGCAGCAGCATCACTGTGGTCCCTGATGACACGCGTATAACATTTGTGAGCAGTAAGAACACAACAGACAGAAAGGGGACATGTGTCCTTGTGTCATCATCCCATCCATGGGTCCTATCACCACTTATGTGCTCCTAGGTCACACTCTTCTACACTAAACTGTTAAGGAAGACGGCACAGTTGGTCACACTACAACTGAGAAGGGTCCTGGTGACACCAGAGGCCTCTACCTCTTTCTACTGGGTCTGTACCAGGCCAACTGACTTCCTATGTGTCTGGCTAAGGGCAGCTTGCTTACCCACCCAGACCCACTGTCTACCAACAGCCCCACTCTGTTGTGGATCATGCTTTGGTTTCCAAACTGTTCTGTTAAGACCAAGGAGGCAAAGACCATGAGCCTCCCATGTGCCCTGCTGGCACCCACTGATGAGGCACTACTTTTCCATGTCATCCACTGTTTGTGAATGAGTGTACCCTTAAGCTTAGATGGTGATTTAAAACCCAAGAGGAAACACTAGCCTCGAACTGCATGTAGTGGTCCTCACTGCATTTTGATAACTATTAGTGAGCTATAGATGTATTTTACATGCTGCATTTCTGTAATAAATATATATATATACATACACACACACACACATTTTTGTAATTTTTACATATAGAAAAGTCAGAACCCCATGGTGCTATTGTTCCTTCCCCTGTTTCAAGTTCTACTTTGCTATTCAGCTGAAACTAGAGTCATTTTTCTTCTTTTATTGGGCAATGCTGGGGAATCAAACCCAGGGCCTTGTGTACACTGACTGTGCCTCAATCTATACCCTCAACCCCAGAGTTTTATGCTTCTTTATGCATTTATATTCAGAGTTTGCAACACATGGAAAACACATCCTACTGTATTTTCCACTTATTATGGGCATGGGAGATGGGTGCCATCAGTGTGCGTGCAGCTCTGCCTTTTTCCTGCAGGCACGGCAGCACTGCTCTTGGCACAGGATCGGGAGTTGGTTCCCTCACACACAAGGAAAGCACTTTCCTAGGCAATCCATGAGGTAGATTTGTTTTTCTCACCCACTTTAATAAATTCAGGCCTTGGATATTTTCACATATACTCCTGTGTATCACAACATGGAAAACAATCATCTACTAATTTTGGAAAATATGGGGTTCCAAAAACCTCCCCAAGTTTTCTATACTTCTGACACAAGTCAGGATGAGTTGAGAGGAGTCAAATGCTGGCCAGGTTTAGAGTCATGAGATACTATTTCAGAAGCAGAGAAATCAGGAAAGGGATATACTTCTCAGGGACCTTAGCAGGCTTTGAGCAAGAGGGAATACAGGTTCTCACACTGTGCACACCCTGGCTATTTCTAGAATGGGTTTGCCCTCGACAGTAACATGGCTGGAGGTAAGACACAGAAGACCACTGAAGACCAACCTGAAGTTAAAGAAGATGAGATTTGTGGTGATATATTGTGTACCCTAGTAAAGTCTGCCTGAGGATCAGAGGACAGAGCCAGACACTAGATTAGACATAGGGGTCAGACAGTGTGGTGGCACACACCTTTAATCCTATCACTCGGGAGGCAGAGATCCATTTGGATCTCTGTGAATTCACCGCCACACTGGAAACAGAGCCAAGCAGTGGTGGCACATGCCTTTAATCCCAGTCAGGAAAGCACACACTCCTTTAATCCCAGGAAGTGATGGCAGCGCGGAGAAAGGTATATAAGGTATGAGGAAACAGGAACTAAAGCAGTTCAGCTGAGACCCTTTCAGACCCTCTGAGGACTCAGAGGCTTTCAGTCTGAGGATTGATGGAAACAGGATCGGTTGAGGAGTTGGCGAGGTGAGGTTGGATGTGGCTTGTTCTGTGTCTCTGATCTTTCAGATTTCACCCCAATATCTGGCTCTGTTTTTTTTTTTTTTTATTATAAGACCATTAGAAATTGAAACAACAAGGTTAGAGTGTAACTATAATCTGGCTGTTTCAGAAAGGCCACGTGGGCAGCCCTGTTCTGCATCAGACAGTCTGCAGTATTTTAAACATTCAGAGGAACAGAGCTTCTTATCATTTCTCTTTTATTATGGCCCCATGCTAGTACCTGTAACACCAAGCACCTGTGTAACCATCATAAGCAGAGCCTCAGTCAGAGAACAAAAGGACAGACCCACATGAAAGCGGAGAACCCCACACTAACATGAGGGACTTCTGAGGACATGAGTAGGAAGAAGAAAACACTCAAGACCCAGGAATCCACAGGGCTCAAATCTTACTTACTTTTCTATCAAATCCAGTGTGACTCCAGGCACCAGACTAACACACTTCTGCATGCAAAACCTGCAGAGAAAGGAGAGGACATGAGAGGCAAGAACGGAACACTGAACATGAGAACCATCCAGCAGTAAATATACAAGTTTAAACACACTGCTTCCTCAGTACTGGCATCTTTTAGGTTTAAGAAGCAAGCCTCAGCTGGCGGTGGTGGTGCACACCTTTAATCCCAGCACTCTGGAAGCAGAGGCAGGTGGATCTCTGTAAGTTCGAGGCCAACCTGGTCTACAGAGTGAGTTCCAGGACAGCCAGGATACACAGAGAAACCCTTTCTCAAAAAGAACAAAAGAAGCAAGCCTCACTGCCACTGTGTCAAGGCTGCAAGACTGTAGAGCAGCATCTGGAGCCAGCAGCTGCATGCAGTTAATGGAGCCTTGTCCCTGGAGAGTAGCGAGGAGCTGAGACTCAGAGCAAGGCTTCAGCTAAGAACTGCTGGAGTAGACTAGACTCCCTGACTCTGCCTTTCTTCCTTCTTAAAAAAGTGAGGAGCGGGAGGGGGTGGGGAGAGTAGTGCTGGGGAGTGGATGCATGCCTTCAAGGCACATAAGTGCCACTTAGAGAAGACAAAGGAACAGGGATTCAATTATACCATTTTAATCATCAAAAAGTCAAAGGAGCCAGAGCTGAGAGACTTCTCATCTGTGGACAAATCCACCTCAAAAGCAAGAACGGAAGTGGCAGGGCTTTATCTAATTTGTGTGTGCTGACAGAAGGCAAGAAGCCATCTTTCTTCCCCTCCTGTTAGAGCCATTGGCACACAGCAGAACAGGATCAATGACAGCACTGAAGAAGTCAGCAGCTCAGTGTTTTTAGTGGGAGGAACGTAAAATGCTTGCACTATCTGTTTAAAATTAAGAGCAGCAGGAACACAGCACATGAGATGGCCCCAATCTAGGATGACTCCATTTCCAGTTTTCAGTGCATTCTGCAGGGACTTGCTTTCAACTCTGACACACTGACAATGGCCCACATGCTTGTGCTACAGGCAACAGTGAGTGGCAGCTCTCAGCCAGCCCAGCATTACTGGTAGAAACTAATGATGCTCTCTACTTTTTCTCAGCCAGGAGCTAAGCTAGGACAGTCTGCAGCTTGTGTATTTTTTCCCAGTTATGATGTCTGCACCTTACAATGGGTTCACCAGGACATTTGTAAAATGCATGTACACCTATCACCAACAGACACCGTGTTCAGTACAAAGATCAGGCCACAACTGAGAGACAAGGACAAAAACCCTTTATGAGTGGTAGGCTTAGAGGGACAGAGGAGCAGTGGGATAAGAGGGGAAGAAAACAGAGAGGAACAGAAAGATACAGAAGCAGAAAGACAACAAGGTAACATACAAATAGTATGTGCCAAGTAAATGGCTCCTGCCCAGGACATGGAGCACAACTGCCCAGCCATGTTCTCTGTTCTCAAGAAACAAGGCTCAGCTCAAGCAGTGGGAGAAAGCCTGCTTTTGGTTGAGCTGCCGCAGCCAGTGTTCTATGGTTCAAAGAGCAAAACAAATTAACCTGGGGGCCACGTTTCTTTGACTGTAAGGGCAGCTCCTTTACAGTCTCAGGGAGCTGGAATGCTGAATATAGTCAAGCTAGTGGCTGGACTCTGAGTAGCTAGATCCTTCTGCTGACATTCCAAGAACTCTGCTCAGCCTCCTGCAAGCATCTTATGTCCTTGGAATCAGCATGGATGTACACAGCTTCAACAGCATCAAGATCTCCTGCTGGATAAGCATGACCAACAGGAGACACATTTGGGGGTCTGAGTCCTGTTTGAGCCACACTCCTCATTGTCTTGTCTCCTCATCCGCAATGGATTTATTGACTGGGATGTCTGGAGCCCAGTAATGACAGGATCATTTGTATCAGATTAATTCCTATGTCAAAAGCAATAATAAATTCCAGACAAAATATTAAAAACAACCACTTGGAGCCAGGCGGTGGTGGCACATGCCTTTAATCCCAGCACTCAGGAGGCAGAGCCAGGTAGATCTCTGTGAGTTCGAGGCCAGCCTGGTCTACACAGCAAGTTCCAGGAAAGGCTCCAAAAGCTACACTGCCTCAAAAAAATAAAATAAAATAAAAAACAAACAAACAAACAAACAAAAAACCAACCACTTGGTAATTCCAAAGAACAAACAGAAGAGAAACTGGAAGTGCTATAACCTTGGCAAAGGATGAACCACCTGTTGGGCTACACATTCACACAACATATGGGGACAGCGGGAGCAGTCTCCCTAGGGTGAGGATCAGAGATCAGCAGTGAAGGCTGCCAGGAAATTGCGAGCAATAACCTTAGACTGGAGGGAGCCAAACCTTCCTCTAGCACTGGCTGACTCATGAACTACAGACAGGATGTGACTGCAAGGATCCCTGGGGCAATGGGAGGCTGAAAGTATTAATTGGGGAGTGCAGGTCTCTTGCCCCAAGAAGGCAGAGGAAGGCCTCATTTCACCAATTAGAGGTCCTGAGAAGCCTCAGGGCTTTCAATGGACTCCCAGGGGGATCCTGCCTTAGTCACATGCTGTATTCCAGGATCAAAAGTGACACTCTGTAGCTAGGAACAAAGCCAAAGAGGTCAGTCCCACAACCAAGCTTCTGGGGAGATCAGTCCAATCCTACCGTCCACCCCCATCCAACTGGGCTGACACTGCTCTAAGGAAGAAAGCAGAAGCAGCTTTTAGCACTTCCAAAATGGGTGGCATAATGTCAAAAGCCAGAGAAAACATCAAAACAGACAGATTTTGGAATTGATAGATACTTTGTTATAAAAGCCTAATTTAATTATTGACTGGGAGATTAGCATTTTTATAACAGCGAAAAGGTACAGTTCTCTTAAATATGGAATTAAAGCAAAGACATTTAAACTAACCAGGCTATGGTCACTTGAAGAGCAGCATGCTTAAGTCGGCATTAACCCACAAAGTTCCCTCACCAATAGCATCAATTCTCCATACCAGAACAACAACTGGTCTCACCTTTCATTCTGTTTTCTTCTATATGAGGGTGTTCCTGGACAATGAAGGCCAAGGATAAACTGAAGGAACAAAATGACTCAATGCTGGGCATGGTGGCTCATACCTTTAATCTCAGCACCTAGGAGTCAGAGGCAGGCAGATCTCTGTAAGTTTGAGGCCAGTCCAGTCTACATACCAAATTCCAGGACAGACAGTGATACATAGAAAGACTGCCTTAAAAAAAAAAAAAAAAAAAAAAAAAACAACCTCAAATGATCCATAAAACTGGCCAGGTATGGTGAATCATACTTGTAAACCAAAGACTTGGGAAGCTGAGACAGGAGGATCATTTCAAGTTCAATAGCTGGAAGGTGCTCAGGGTCTCTGGAGGCTGTGGCCTTGTGTCTCATGTGAGTGTTTACTCCTCCCCATGAAATACGAGGCAGCACCTAGTCTACGGATGGAGGACACCAGAGTGAAGTTCAAGAGTCCTGAGGACAGCTGGCCAAGTAATACAAACCTGAAGTTCTAGATATTTGGGAAGCTGAGACAGGACTACTGTTGAGCCCAGGAGTTCAAAGCCAGCCTGGGCAGCACAGCAAAGCCAATTTCAACAACTAAACCAAATCAAGCCAAACCAAAAAACAACAACGACAATTCACTGAGAACAACAGACACAGAGGCTTTTCAGAAACAGACCACTTTCAAAGACATAAGCAGAACAAGTAGGAGGACCATGGAAGGGGATGTTTAACTTACTGAAGAAAAGTAACGTGGAACCAGAGTTTCACACCCAGCCAAACTGCCGTTTAACTGTGCAGGGACAAGTGTTCTCGGGCACATCCAGCATCAAGAAGTGTATGGAAGACAGTTGTGGGTCACACTGGCGTTAGAGGGCAAGGGGGAACCCCATGGTGGGGAAAGATACACAGGAAGTGCTTTGGAACCTCTGTGAGGTGCGCTGTCTTCAAAAGAAAATGAACACAAACAAAAGGAAAGTGATGTCTACTGAAGCCCAAACTGCGAAGTCAGATAACACCAGCCAAGAGGACTCCTCTGTGGCAACTCCACCACCAAGAGCCGCTGTTTTGGACAAAGTGGTGACACAAACCAGGCTAAGCATCCAAACAGCCTTGCATGGCAGCATCTACACAGCAGTCAGAAACTGGGCTGTTTATTCCGCCTTCCAGGAACCAGCCAGAGGAGACACCACTTCCCTCAGCAGGCCAGCTGCAGCCTGCCACCAACAATCAGGTTCCAGCCTGCTTTAATCCTTGCACCAGAAGCGACCTGAGGCTGACCAATCCCTTTTCTATTTTCCGCCTCACAAGGAACTCTGATTCCTTTTTGGTCTTTGTTTCTGCAGCTCTCTTCTGTCTATAAAACCCTTCGCTCTGTTCCACTCACAGGAATGTTGTTATAAAACGAAGGCAAATGGAAAAGCAGGGAAATCCAGGGGGGACGTGAGCAGGGAAAGGTGCCCCTCACTTTAAGTCCAACGGAGCAGCAAAAGTTCCAGCTCCACTGCCAGCTGTTGAGTCGACCGACCAGCTGCAAACCTGATTATTTGCTAGGAATATCACCAGAAACCCCACTGAGGAGGAAAGGACATTGCTAAGAACCTTGTGTGGCCCTAGTGGCTCCTGATTTCACCTTGTCAGATTATAATTCCACTCAAGGCATTACCAGAGCCACCTCATGTATCAAATAAAAGAGAAAAGAAGTAAATGGTTCTGAGCAACCTCAGAGAGGTAAGTGGTATATGTGGCTCATGCTAAGACAGCTATCTGAGTCTCCCTCAGGAGCCTGGACCGCTGCCACACTTGGGTGTGTCTTATTTTCTGGGAGAAGCTCAAAGCCATTCTCTTAGGTATGGTCTTTCTCCTTTACGTGTTTTGCTTTCTCCTAACCCAATGGGAACTCTTTAGGCTGCTGAGGATGGCAGAGTAGAGCTGTGTCTCTGTACCCTCACACTGACATGATGCCTAATTACAGACTCAAAAATAAAGCCGAGCTGGAAAGATGGCTAAAAGAAATGGCTGCTCTCCCAGAG